CAAATCAACCAATAATTGATTAAGCGTTTGCTTCATATATGTTTGATCCTTTGGATTACGTTTTGATCCAATTGCATCCAATTCATCTATAAAAACTATACTAGGTGCCTTGCGTCTCGCAGCAGCAAAGAGTTCACGCACTCTTCTTGCACCAACTCCAACATACATCTCATCAAATTCTGAGCCGGACATAAAAAAGAATGGCACACCAGCTTCTCCTGCAACGGCACGTGCTAATAATGTTTTTCCAGTACCTGGAGGACCAGTAAGTAAAACACCTTTTGGAAGTCTCCCTCCTAAACCTGTAAACTTTGAAGGGTCCTTTAAGAATTCAACTAATTCCTCCAACTCTTCTTTGGCTTCATCAACACCATGCACGTCAGAAAATTTAACCACCTGTTGTGAAGATGGTTCAAATTCCGACTGTGATCCACCAGTCTTTAATAGTCCCGAATTTTCCATAGCAATACTAAGAAAAGTGATAATGCAAAAGGCATACGTAAATGTAATGCCAACCCAGCGTAAAGCACGCCAAAACATATATCCCCGTGCTGAGTTAAAAAAAAAAAAACAACAGCAAGATATTAGATCATAGTAACAGCATTAATAAATTTGTAGCTTTGGAAGAAAAACTCTTACCTCCTTCGATTACAACATAAATAGGGTTTTCTTTATTACCAGCATTTGATGTTGTAACTGATGGACCACCTTCTGCAATAGTTTTTTTTCCTTGACTTTTAACAATCGTGTGTACCAAATCATTCGTTGAAGTTGCTCTCGTTGAAGCTTAGTTAAGACATACATATGTTAGGAGGTTTATTGAACGAAACCAGTAGTAGCATATAATATAATCTACCTCCATCAACGCCGGTAACACCAGATTGTTCTAATTTTTGTATTATTTTTGGTAAGACTTTGTCTGCTTGACCTGCTTTGGCTAATGCAGTGATATATGCTCGAAAACATTCATCATCATGCGCAAAATTTCCACGTTCGAATCGAGTGATAACTGCATTATGATTATTAATTCTAAGTAGTTCCTAAAATTAAATAAATCAAGATGTAGATGATCATGAATTTCATCTTTTCCAGAATTTGGGAAGCCAAATGTTTTTTGTTTGTCTTTTTTTTTTAATGTTTAACAAAGATAATCACCTACTTTATAATATTCAACCTGTTTAGTCGCGTCATTGGGAAATGAATTTGCCTCAGCTTCCAGAAATTGTAAACGTCGTTGATTAAAGATTCTAATAGTGTTATTTGTTCCAAAATACCGACGACTAATTGTGAGCTGTGAAATCCCTAGTAACATAGATCAAAATTAATGCGATCATTTAAGATACAATTTGAACGCGTCTGATAAAATAAATGGATTAAAATTGGTATAATTTTAAGATTTTGCTAGGAAAACGACTCCAGGACAATGATCCGATTTGAATAAATTTTTTTGTTCGTAAACCAAAAAAATTTATTCCGATTGAATCTTATGGATAGTTAGCAATTTTAGATTTTGTTAATAAGATCTACACGGTCTTGGTGTCATTCTCCTAACAAAGATCCGTCTGTCTTACCTCTCCGATAGAACGTTGATATTATTGAAGTGTCTACAGCTCTTTTTAATAAACCGTTTGTCGTAAACGGTGACATCCCAGATATATTATTTAATTATTATTACAATGCAGAAATTATAAGATAAAGATTCACGTGATCGGAACATTTAATTTGATCATCTGCCCAAGTTTAGAGTCTATTTTATAACACGTTATAATACATAATCTAAGTTACCAATTTATTTCTCTTTCATTTGGCGGTTGTTTGTGTTTAATACTCGCCTCTTATTATTACAAGAACCAACAAATCCTTATAATCATGAAACAGATACAGATCCTCTTGATGAAACAACGACGCGCTGGAATAACCACGTGGGTACTGCGGAAAAGCTTCTACAGACGATCTTAATTGCTATATTTAAAATCTGCCTAAATTTTCTTTCTTTTGTAATTTATTGATTTATATTAATACAGTAACTTGAAGTTAAATAACTATATTCAATTGGATTCTTTTTTTATTTTTGAATCAGAATTTATCAAAAAAAAACTATAAATAAAAAATCTCTATGAAAAATATTAAACCATTTCAAACTAAACATTTTGGTTGTTTTTAAAATAAAATAGTAAGAATTAAAGTAAATTTACTGTATAATTAAACAAGAAATTTGACTATTTGAATATATTATTAAATGAGCAATTTTTTTTATTTATTTTATATACTAAATTTGATTACTTTTAAATTATAAAAAATTTAAATAGTTATAACTTTTTAAAAACAAAAAAATATTAAAAAAATTTTTTTTGATAATTTAATAACTTATTGTTTAAACTATAAAACCATCAAAAATTTTTTGAATATCTTTTATTTTTAAACAGTTATATTAATTTAAATTTTATATAATTCAAAATTTTGACGTTTATACGTATATAAAAAAAAAAAACTCGAATTTATTAACAAAAATCTAAATTTTATTAATAAATTTAAAAATTGTATTAATTTTTATTGAATAATTAGGTTACATTGCAGCTAAAAAATTGGCGCCTATATACGTATAAAATATGTTGGCTTTAGGTGAAATCCACTGTATATTAAATTAATTTTTGGTCTCTTTATATTAAAATTGGTTATACTATATTATATATATATATAAATTAAATTTTAAACTTTTTGGTTATTAAAAAAACTTTTATTTGCATACAGTAATATGCACAATATACTGTTAAGGTTCCTAAAATCAAATGAAATATTAGAACAATTTTAATTTGATCAAATCAAATTGATCCTGATTTGATTTTCAAAAGCTTTGATTTGAACTTGACTTGGGATTCGGATTTGAACTTTTAAAATTTAAAAATATCGTTCGTTAAAGTAAATTCTTTAATTTACAAAAAAATTTTATTAAATTCATCGATCTTGATCTTTTAAATAAAAATGTTCTCGAATCAAAATACCCCTAATTGTATAGAATGAAAAAGTCAGTTATAATAAAATTTTCAAATCAAATCAAATATTAATCAAATCAAGTCAATTTTGATCATATTTAAATTTGATAATTCTGAAATATTTGATCAAATCAAATCAAATTGTAGAGCACTATATTGTATAATTTGATAAATTCTAAAAGCTTTTTTATCCTAATATTAAACAGAATTAATGTTATATAAATTAATTAATACCTATGTATACTATGTATAAACTAAGAAACTTTCTAGTAAAAATTTTATTTAAAAATTTAACTTAACATCGATATAGAATCGATTAGTAAATGATTTGGGTAGCTAACCTAGAACTTGCACTTTCGTGATTTATCAATAATTGGTTTCTCTAAGAATCATAATTAATGATTTTCTTCACGTTTCAAAGTAATAAATATTTTTCTCTGTACTTTTGGAGAAATAACGCTCACAAAGGGGGTTAGCGTGACGCCTATTTAACTCATTCGATAATACCGAAATTGATATATTTTTAATGCAAAAAATATTATCGTTATGCTCAGGAACAATGGATTTGTTTCTCTCTGGACAATTATTTAAATTCAATACACTGAAGACTATCAGGACCTTGATCATTTAGATCTTGAATATTCGAAATTATAAACATTGGACTCTTGAATTGTCAGGATTTCATACTTACGAGATCTTGAATATCGAATAAAAATGCTTGATTTAAAAAACCTGTTATCTCAATCTTATAAATTCGTGATCATAAACTCGTGAACCCAAAAAGTAACATTTTAAACTCATATAACGCCAGCCTCATCTCATCGCAATATATCAATTTAATCATTCAAATATAAATAAAACCAGCCAATGGATTTTTGCTGTAGAATGAAGTTTAAGAGCAACTCTTAGTTCCTCATTTTATTTTTTTTCTAATAAACTCACGATGGTTTGGATGAGATCGATAAAAATTTGGTAAAACCAATCAATGGAATATAATTGAATATACAGCACTTAAATTCTAGTAACGTAATCTGCTTAAAAAGAGACATATTCTTTTAAGGGATAATAGATGGTATATATCCAGTCAGTTACGATGGAAATGTAATACGAAATTTTGAATTATTTATTTGTAAATAAATATGAGAGATAATAAAAAAGTCTAATCAAGATTTTTCTGGATCTTGTATAACGATGAGAAGATAATCAGCGTCTTATAATTTTAAAAAATAGAAAGATGTTAGAATTTTTCTAAATGTAATTTAAAAGATAGAACATAGGTAATAAAATTTTTGTTACCAGGAGCAACTAATATTTCATGTTTTTTAGTTCGAACTCGTAAGAATGAAAGGTCATTCTAAATATAATATTTATCATATCATATTTATAAAAAGATTATAATACTTTGACTACACATGTTATCGATTAAAGTCATTAAATAACTCACAGTTCCAGCTTCATCCATCTCATTAATAACAAAAGTTGTCTGTTCAACAAGTTTGGTGATCAAATCTGAGTACTTTTTGGACAAAGTTTCATCTAAAGTAGATTTAATGGTTTGTCCTTCTTTGTTAACGATTAATACTTCTTTCACATATTTGTTTGCAGAAAGACGTTTAATAGTTTCTTCAACTTCGGTATTTGACTAAATATAAAGTTTATTTCTGTGTTGGTAACGCTAATTGAACAATTAAACTAAAGATAAATACAAAACCTTCATGCTCAACAAGCGAGCTTACCATTATAATTTAATGCTGAAAGTGAAAAGCTAGGAACTTGGAAGGTACATCATCGACCCTTTTTATGGGTACCCTTATGTCCTGCAAATACGGACCCTCCGTATGGATCGGAACCAATAAAATAACGAAGATTTCGCGTAACAAAACAAAGGCAAAAAAACTAGCTACGTAACACAAAATTTTACTACACGTGAGTATAAAATGCTAGATCACTTTGTAGTGAGATTTCCTAATCAGACCAATAGTTGCGTATGATTCTAATATAATTGAAATGTCTTTGGAGTCTAGTTTAGAAAACGCTACCAAAGTGTATCAAAAACTTCAAAAAGGTATTTGACCGTTTAATACAGTAATCTTCTTTATTTTCATTTACTATTTTAACTTTAAGATTTAATTATTTGGAATTTTAATTTGATTAGACCTTACAAATGCAGTAGAAAATCTACAAAAACTTGATTCTCAGTTACAAGAGAACGAAATTGTTCAAAAGGTATTCTATTTATCTTGCAACAATATTTGGGGGTTCTCTTTTTTTTTCGATCGATATATTTTTTTAATAATCATTTTAATAGGAATTCAACTTATTAAAAGATGATTCAAATATTTATAAGCTCGTTGGCCCTGTGCTAATAAAACAAGAAAAAGTCGAAGCCACTGAAAATGTTGGAAGACGATTGGATCTTATTCGATCTGACATGTTTGTATTTGTTTTATTTTGTCAATTACCATGATTTGAAGTTGTATTGTCATGTGCAAATTAAATACGCGTATTGGGATTAGTTTGAAAGAACCATTTAATATGACACTTTTACTATATAGTAAATTTCGAGATATATACATATACAATCACTTACAAAAAAAAACTTTAAGAACCAAAATTTCAAATCCTCGTTTATTTGAATTTTTTTTAGTAAACGAGTGGATGATCAGATCAAGGACTTGACAGAAAAACTCGAAAAGAAGAAAATTGAGGTGAATCTTTTGATCATTAATAGACTTATTACCTATTATAATTTATAAATCTTTTTTAAAAAATAATGATAATTATTTTACAGATTGTTCAACTTAACGCTTCCTTAACGCAACAAGAAACAAAATCATAATAAAACTGTTAGAATATGAAATCGAAACAAACTTCACATGAATTTATATAATTAATAGTGTTTTTCATTTAAAATGATTTCATTAATTAATAAAGAAATGGTACCACTCATTGTTTATGCATTCCTATTTTGGTTCGGATTTGGGCGATAGGTTCAAGTTTAGTTTAATGTTAAGTAGACTAGATAAAATAGATAAAATTCATTGATAATATGGTAAGAAGAAAAGTTAAATGATAAGCGAACTATGTACCGTATTATATTGTATTGTATGCATTAACACATGTTAACCATTGCTAATGATGCTAACGATGTTAACAATTTTAACAATGTTGTAAGTCATTTATAATGTATAAATCAAAAAAGTTTTTTATCACTTTTAATTAAAAATGAATAGTTAATACGAATTTTCTGAGTTTATTTCAAGTATTTTTAAACATTCTATCAAATCTTGATTGTTGTAAACATTTATAATCTCACGTGCTATGTACCCAGAAACGTAAACCCAATAAAATTCATTAATATCAACCTCCTTTAAAGATTTCCCATTACATCCAGTAATACGTTGATACATTCTTTGAAATATACACTTCATTAATTCTGAAGCGATATTTGTTCTTTGTCGAATTAAAGCATCACAAAATTGGATACCAAATTTTTTAAAATCTAATGAAGTTTGTATAGAAGAAAATAAATATTCTATAGTATCATTATTTGGTTCAAGATAATTTGGTAATCTATTAAACATCTCTAAAGTTATAATTGGATTCGAAGATGAAGAAATTTCTTTTAAAAATAAATTGAAAATTGAAATATCTAATGGTAAATGATCAGTTCTTTGTGCAAAAATCTTTCCAATATTTGGATCTACCGAATTTAATCTATTATTTGATGATTTTAAATCGATTTTAGCATCATAAAATTCTATTAATCCATTTATATCACCAACTTTTCCAAGAGCCAAAATTATTGAATTTATTAATCGTCTTGGCATTATTCTAGTTTTTGGTCGTGAAAGCATTCCTTCTAATAATATCCACAAATATTCTCGATATATATTGTTGATCATTGATCGTTGAGCTAAACTCCATAATGACATATTTTGAAAAGTAATTATTCTAAATGTGTTAAGTAAATTATTATAACCTATTATTTGAGGTTCTAAATTTCTTAACCACATCATTTCTATCACTCTGATTCCTTTAATAAAATCTTTGTGATAAGCACATGCTTTCAAAAAAATATGATATGCACCAATTGCAAGTTCACCTTGAGAAATACGATTAAGTCGTAATAAGTAATCAAAACAGTTTGATAATCCTTCTTTTCCTGATACCAATCTTGAACAAGTTTTTATAATTTCTACGTGTAAAGTTTGATCATCATGAAATCCAAGATTCACAATCTTTGACCAAATTTTTTCTAAATCATCGAAATCTCTACAATGTCTTAATAAAATTTCAAAAGTTTTTCCATTAGGTCCTACATTCCAATCGGACATCAAATCAAGAATGATATTGATACTTTTTTGTTGTTGATTAAGGTTTTGTTGTGATGTGAGACATGAATTAAGTAATGTATTTAAAGTACCAGATTTAAGTTTTAAACCTTTAACAATGCTTTGTTCAATAAACATAAAGCAATGATTAGGGTTTTTGGCTTTTGCTATTGATTTAATCATTATTGAAAATGTTTTCGCGTTAGGTGAAACGGTATATTTGGACATTGACTTGAACACTATCGATATATATGCGAGTATAGAAATAAAAAATATAAAATTAGCTTATATACTAAATATTAAATTATCAAATTATCATAATTTAACTTACTAATTTCAACCTTCTTAGATGATCCTCTTTCATAATAAATTGATGCAAATGTATTCCAAACATTAATAATGAAAGTTCCCAACAAATGTTTATTTGGATTAATTTCAATATCTTTAATAAATTGTGTAAATATAACATCCACTAAATCTAATCTATCATTATTTGCACATTGACGTAACAAATAAGAGATTAAATTTAAATAAAATCGGTTTAAACCGTATAAATTGGTGATATTTTTGTAGAATTCAAGTGCTTGTGATTCGCCGATTCGGGAAAATTCTGTCTCATTAATTTTATTAAATGCCTAAAAAAATATATATATATATTTAAACCATAAAATATATTAATAAAATGAACGTAATCTAAAATATATATATAATATATATATGTGTATATTATGATTTATTTTAAACAAATCAAAACAAACCTTACTTTCGCAGCTTCAGTATCTTTTTTTATTTTTACTTTATCCTCTTTATTCTCTTCATGTTTTCTAATCATACCAGCCTGTTCAATATCAATGGCCTGTTTTCGTAAAGCTTGCATAAATTCATTCTTATTTGGTAATAGAGTTGTTAGGCGACGAAACTGGCGAAACTGACGAAAGGTGACAAAATTGACGAAAGGTGACGAAACTGGTGAAAGGTGATGAAACTTGCGAAAGGTGACAAAACTAGTAAAAGCGGTAAAACTTGTAAAAATAATAAAAAGAAGTTGAAGCACTTTCATATAATAATCGCATGTAATAATCGACTTTTCTATTCCTACTTGTTCAGCTTTAAATTTTCATATAAGAATCACGTATGTACGTACTTGATATCACACATTACTTGTGTATTTGCAGCAATGCGCATATTTCTACAATCGTTAATTGCTTTATTAGTTATTTCACGAGTTAAATGCAATACAATTAATGTTTTTGCTTACCTATGAATCAACTTGACTATTTTTATTCGATGAATGTTTTTTTGATATATCATTAGATTATCCAAAATTGTGCAATACAGGATTAGATAAAAGTAATGTGATTTCAGTATAAAATAATAATTCTAACCAATATTTTTATTAAAATAATATTAATTGTATATAAGGTCGCTTGCAGTTGATTCTTCAATTAACATCAATATAGATTTATATTTTATATTTTTCTAATCGAATTTTTTTACCGAACAGATGGATTGATAAATCGACAAAGACTGTAGTGAAAGACTAAGCGAAAGACTAAGCGAAAGGCTAAGCGAAAGACTAAGCGAAAGAATTTGCAAGAAACGAGAAATAATAAGCCACTTACTATTTATACTTGTATAAATTGCACGAATGTGAGCAAATTTACGTTAAAACTTCTTCGCAGAACGATAACACTAATCTTAGAGAGCAGTGGAGGAACCTTAAGGTGTCTAAGGACCTTCAGGGTGCGGAGTGAAGTAAAAAAAAGCAAGTGGTGATCATTTATACAAGCTTGAAACTTGTACAAACACGAATATAGGTCACACCAGCATAGCAAGCTTTAATTCTGATTGGTCAATCACTAAATATATCGTCGATAATCTCAAAAAAAGTTTTATCTACACGTGATTACTGGATTAGCATAAAATTTATATGGGGTCTTTGCCTTGAAAATCAAGTTTGGATCATATGATTTACTATGTCCCGTAAGGTCATTTTCAAGGCAAAGACCCCATATATTGATCAAATAAAAATAAATAAATATATTCAATTCAATTTCTGCTTTATCTAGGCTGTAAAGTTATCATTAAAATAAATTATTGTAATTTTTTTTTGATAATTTACCTAGGTCATTTTTTTCTTTCTATTTATACTAAGTAGATACAATATCATATAACCATGAAATTGTTATAAAAAATGCTGTATTGTTTGGTTACAAACTAATTGGTATTATATATATATATATATGTTTATTTTTTTTATTTTTTTATTTTTTTTTTCTTAAGCAGTTATGGTAATATTTTATTAAACTATTTGTAGCTACATATGTAAATATAGAATATTATTTAACTTATAAGTCTATTATTATCTGATTATCCAAATGATATCCAAATATGACCTGTCACACTAATCTAGTTAGGATTAGAAATTATAACTCATCTAACTCTCATCTCACAATAGAATATCATTAATCTAGAGAAATCTTCTTATAAGGAAGAAAAAAACAAAAAAAAAAGAAAATGATTTTAAAATTAAAGAAAAAAAAACAAAAATAAGGAAAAAAATAAAACTAACAAAAAGAAAACAAAAATAATCTATAAGAGAATAAAAAGGAAACATGTTAATAGGATAAAACTCTATTTTACAATTGTTGCTTACTATAATATTTTTATTATTTTATGAACTATAGTTATTTTCTAGAAACTAGATACTTTTAATCAGAATGAAAACTATATTCACTTATAGGATAGAGTTCAAGTTGGACACTTTCTATATAAGAAAATTCTTCAAGTAGATGGAGTATTATGTCAAGGTTTGGAGTGCACTTAAGCGGTCCAATTCTTCATAAATCCCCATAATCATTTTTTTAAAAAATATTATACATATAGTTTTAGGATATATATATATCTTAATATAATTTAGATTTTTTTGTTTAAATCCTTTTCTAATCTGTTTCACGTAATTGGTCAACACATATATTTGTTGTGTTCTTTATTTGCTATATTCAAACAAACTTATAACTATAAAAGAAAATGATGCATAATATCAATCTTTTGATAAAAATAAGTCAAATCCCTACTTTTTAAAAAAAAGAAAACAAAAAAAGAATAAAAAAAATGTATATTATTGTTGCAAGGGTCTAAGTTAAGAAGAGTTTTTCTAGTTATTTTTTTTTCTGCTTCTAATATTCTTAACCAGAAAACTGATTTTGTTTTTATTTATTTTCAGAATATACTTTCAATTTGAATGTCAAATATGCAAAAGAGTCTATTAGACAAAAGTTTAACCCAAAACAAGAATCAATTAAGTTTTATTTACTTATCAGTGTTTTATGTATTTAAGCTTTGTTGATAGCAAATTTATTTAATATAAAATTAAAAATATTATTTATTTTGAAGTCAGAGGCTTTAATCTATTTTTAATACTAACTTAGTTTAAGTAATTATCAAAAAGAATATAATTGTATATATTCATATATATGTTTATTTGTTTTAAATTTTTTTTTTTTTTTAACTTTAGTAGTCATGCTAGTACTTTATTAGAATTCTTGAAACTATACAAATTATATGAAATTTTTCTGATATATAAGTCTAGCATTACTTGGCCACCCAAATGGTATTTAAGTATGACCTGCTGCACTATTTCAGTTAGTGATAAACTGCTCATCTGACTACCATTCTACAATAGAACATCACCAATCTGAATACATTTTTTTATAAAAAAACAAAAAATAAAAAAAATTTTTTTATATAAAAACAAATCAGAAATATAAGAGTAAATAATAAAAAATACAAATCAAGAAATAAAAGAAGAAAGGAAATAAATAAGAAAAAAGAAAATGTGTGAAACTTGCAATTCACAAATATCAGATGATCATAATTGTAAGCCTGTATTAGGCTTTTAAAAATTATAAACTATACTAAATAAAAATAACTTTACTATATTTCTATTTACTTAGATTATTTAACAAAAAACTATATAGGAAAAAAAAAAATCTTTGACTTAATTGTAAAGGATCAGTATAAAGCACTAGTTAGTTCAAAGTTAGTATTTTTAGGTTTTTAGTATTTCAAGGCATGTGTATAGTTATGTTTGTATTACTGTATTGTTTCTAATCTACATCATTAACAAATCTGTTTAGAAAGCAAATATGCTAACTGTTTTGATAATTTTATATATTGATCTTTAGAAGGAAGTAAGCTAAATCACTCACTTTTACAAAATTTCCTTGAAGCAAAATAAAGATAAGAAGTGAACTAACTTTGTAACTTTTGTGAGTTTTTGACCTTTATAGATGTTTTTTGTAGGTTTTATAGTTGTATAGAACTAATATATCCAACTTTGTTGTTTATTTGATAAAAAACTTTGACTTTTACTAACTACTTTTTTTATAGTTCTAAAGTGTATTTAAACTGTTATTACAAAGCTACAACTTCTTTTTCAACTCTATTTTAATGTTCAACTATGTATATATAGTACTTTAGAAAAATTTTTATAAAGTTTAATATATTAACTATATTATTTTTTTGTAGTTTAGCTTTTTGAAAAATTTGGTTTAAATGATTGGTTTTAATTTTATTTTATTTTATTTATTTTTTTATTTATTATTTTTTTTTTTGCTTATGCTAAAACTATAGTTATCAGTGGCTATTGTCTTTATGTATTTTAATTATAATTACATAACTTGTACAAGATAAATATATAACTAGCCATATATATAACTTTTGATTGTCTATTTTAAGTAGTCTGCTTGCATAGCAGGTTTTACACTAACTGCTATACCTGCAATCTACTAGGAGTTTATCTATTTAAACACTCTGATCTTTATACTTATACTGACAAATAGCACACAAGTTCTCATATATCTAAGTGTTGTTTAATCTAACTGTAACCTTACTGTCTGTACATTCATCAAGCTGTTACATATTTCAGAGTATGTCACCTGACTATAAGGCTTTAGGGGACCCTCTTGCTAACTAACTACCCACATTTAGTATCTTGTTAACAGGACTCACCCTTGCAGAGTTTACTCAGACTCCAGCATCAACTTCATAGCATATCCCTAATGCTTATAGTATACATTTGTTTCTGACCTCAAACTCCCAATCCAAATAGCTCAGTAGGACTATGACCTGTCTCTAGTACCTTAGAGTCTGCTTCTCAGGATTCTTTTCTTTTGGTTCAAGACTTCTGGTAGCCTGATTGGTAGTACCCCTCACCTGAGGTTCTTGCCTATCTGATTTCTTCTATATTGGTATCTGTTTCTTAGGTCTAGCTTTTACAATAGTATTGTCAAAGATTTGTGCTACCTCTTTACTCAGATTTTTCCAAGTGGGCTCTGGTTTTCCAGTTTACAGATTTATATAACTACAAGAACTTATCTTGGGTTTGCATTGCCTGATGCTAGTTAGCATTTCTTAGTGTAACTCTAACATTGCACAGATGCTTTATAATTTGTCAGTTATCTGATATGACCATATTACAAATACTAATCCCAACTAATCGACAAAATGCTATTGTTATAATACTATTTATCTTTTATAATACTGATATTACATAAGTGGTTTTTCAAATTTTTAGCATCAGTAGGTTTTGAACTCCCAATCTACTACTTGAGGGGTTAACAACTTAACCACTTTACTAAGTTGCCACATTCCAGTTTTAATTTTATTATTATTATTATTATTAATTTTTTTTTTATTATTATTATTATATAAGCAAACATGCTAGTACTTTATTAAGATTTTTAAATTTTTTTTTTTAAATATTAAAATAAGTACTCGCAATCCAGAATTTTATTAATAGTATATTTGGCTAATAGTTGTATTATAATTACAAAAAACAATCATAAAAGAGTGTACAACTAGCCATTTGTACAATTTATTATT